CCACCACATCTGGGTCACAGCACCAATGTTATGATTACAGCACGAGTTGGAACCCTGGGGGTCCCATGGCCAGTGAAGACCATGGACAGGAGATGAATACACCATGAAGACAGAGCTGTGAAGTGTAGTGAGATAAAGGGAATGGAGAAGGGAAGAGAGAATGGGAGAGAAAAAGACTGAGAGAAAGAGACAGAGTTGTAGAGAGAGAGGAGAAGAAAAAGAAGAGAGACAGAGGGAGATAGAAAGCTGCCTCCTCAGAGAAATGGCAGAAAGGAAAAGAGCAGGAGTAGGCAGGGATTGTCTCTTAAAGGGACAGGGTGCTGTCTGCCATGCACAGAGGCGTGGCGCAGGGTATGATACACTGTGCCAGACTCCCAAGGGGCAGGGCCAAGGTGTGCCTGGATCCTAACACCCACCACCTCTGGAATTCTGAATTAGTGAGGAAGGACTCCTCATCCCTCTCTGAGGGAGAATAAGGTTATCTAGGTTCAGCCTGCCTCAGTCCTTGCAGGATGACTGGAGCAATGCCTCCTGGGACAGGAGTCCTGGCTTCAGCCACGGTAATCTTCAAGGTTGCTCTCTCCTCAGAGTGATCACGAGGCTTTCAAAACAGTCACACTGCCTTCAGGGCCATCCAGTCACTTGCCAGAGAAGTGATTGCTCCGTTGATGGCTCCCCTGCCAGGCTTTAAGATATGAGGGAAGGGTCAGTCGCTGCCACTCACAGACCTGAATGGCTCTGCTCTGAACACTTTTACTTATTTACAGAAAAAAAAAGCATGAGAGAGTGCTTATAATAATAACTTAAAGAAGTGCCATATCAAAATTAATAGTCTCTACAGCTTTGCACAGTGTTTAAGGATGTTTAATGGTGCCTTGTCCCTGCCTCAGAGCCCAAGGGAACACAGTCCCTCTGCATGCCTCACTTTATCTGTGTTCTTGCTATGGGCTGACTCCAGGACGGTTCCTAAGCTGGCTACTTAGGTGAGTACAAGGAAGGCCGTTCAGGTGGAAGCTTCATCCCAGTCCCTGGCATCCATATACCCAAAGAGTCTGGGATGTTTGGGTTAAGGCTTCACCCCAGTCTCTGGCATCCATATACCCAAAGAGTCTGGGATGTTCTGGTGGAAGCTCCATCCCAAACCTCCTCTTCCATCTCTCTCCAAACCCTGCTCCATCTCAGAAAATCTACCAAATGATGACCCCTCCCCAGAGATGTTCAAGACCACTCCCACAGAAACCTGGCCCCCAGAAAACAGATGCTTGGTTTTCCAGTCTTCCTTTCCTGTCTCCTCTCTGGGGAGCATTGGTTTGATTTGGTCTGATTTGGATCGTTGCATCAGCAGGGAGGCTTACGGGGCACAGAAACTTTTCAAAGCCACAGCCCTTATCAGTTGTCACTGAGCGTTGGCCATGACCAGGGCATAGTGAGTCCTGGACTTTTATTCTGAACCATATGCTGGAGTAAAGAAGAAAATAGAAGAGAGTTTTGTTTGTTCATTTTTTAGGAGCTGAAGACTGAGCCCAGGGCCTTGAGTTTGGTAGACAAAATCCCCAATCCCTAAAAGAGAGTTTTTAGAAGTTCTTGTTCCCAAGGTTTCATTCTAGTAGGGAGACACAATAAATCATCAGATCTGTAGTGTGTTCAAGGTCAAGGAGTCTTAGGAAGGCAAATAGGCCCAATCTCCTGTGTGTGTGTGTGTGTGTGTGTGTGTGTGTGTGTGTGTGTACACAATCTGGACCATAATTCCTCCTTTTAAGTGAGGCTCTCCTTTTCTCGATCAAGGTAATGAATACTGAGGGAATATGTACCAGCTATTTATCGTTTTGGAACAAATGGCTACAAACCTAATGATTTAAAGCAAAATTAATCTCCTTATGGTGTATACACCTGTCAAAAGTTGAGATCAAGGAGGACTTGCTAGTCAGCCAGGGTTGGGGGAAGAGGCCTGAGCACACTGTGATCTTGGCTGAAGTTCAGTTCTTCACAAGCAGCTGATCTAAGGCCCTCAGTTCCCCACCAGCTAGGGCCTGGAGGCATCGGCACTGTGACTCAGGAGAGCCTTGCCCTCAGTGGGGAGGCTTCCACAGGGCATCTCACACTGTGGCAAGTGGCTTTGTCAGAACAATGGCTAAGTGACCCAGAGTAAGGCTGACACTGCCAACTTTTATAATCAGATTGTAAATGGCAGTTTGGCATCTTCTGTTTTTTAGAAACCTAGGACTTGACTACTGGCAGGGAAGCCAAAGGAGTGGATGGCTCTGGGACACGAATGCCAAGGGGTAGGGACTATTTGGGTGTATTTGAAAGGAGCTTCCTCCTTGAGAGGGTCAAATGAAGAAGGAGGCCTCCGTTTTCTGTGTGTCAGGGAGGCACACATCTCTACAGCAAGCATGAGCCGCAAAGACCAAAAACATCTAGGCCATTCCAGTCACACGACTTCTGTGGACCGTCTCTCAGGAGTAGAACAACTCTTACTGAACTGGCCGGTGACAGCTCCACAGAGGAAGGAAGAGCTGCCATATGGGACTGGCCAAGAGGAAGTTTGTGCAGAACGGTAGTATGGTAGGACGGTTGGAAGGGCCGCATCAGGAGCTCCGTTTCCCAGAAACTCCTTGTGGTTGGAATCCCAAATACCCCCACCACACACACACACACACCCCACAAGCTCACATCTGAATGTCCAACTTGCCGGCCATTTTGAGGGCTGTGGTGACTTGAGGCGAGGCCTGCTGGTGGAAGTGGTTTGCTAGGAACCTTTGAAGTCATTTCCACCACTCATTCTGTCCAGAGCTCTCTGCTTCCTGTCTGTCATGATTGGAGGTGTCTCTGACATGGGTTTCTACCAGCATGACCTCCACCATACCTTTCCAGCTATGATGAACTGCACCCCCCTAAACCATGAGCCAAACTAACCTGCCCTCTCATGGGTCAATTCTGTTGATTGATTTGGCCAGAGCAGTGCCAAAGTACCTAGGCTTACTCAAGCAAGTGCGCCATCTCCCTTGGCCTCAATTTTCTTGTCTCCAAAATGGGAATCGATTGGAGTAGTTCCTACCTCCTTAGGTTGTGGGGGGTTAACAGGGAGACAAAACACCAACAATGTTAAGTAATTTTCAAAAGTAATTTCACTCGATGGATTCAGTTTTCAGTCCAGTTATTATTGCTGTACAATTTGATCTAAAACTTTGCAGCTTAACCAACCATTTCTTCCTTTCTTTCGATTTTTCAAGACAGGGTTTCTCTGTATAGCCTTAGCTGTCCTGGAACTAATTCTGTCAACTCAGAGATCTGCCTGCCTCTGTCTCCAGAGTGCTGGGATTAAAGACATGTGCCACCACCACCCAGCTAACTAACCATTTCTTATACTTGAGCATGGGATCTGGGGCCCTTGGATCCAGTCTGTCACTGCTTCATGGTATCTAAGACATGGCCTGGTCAGGACTCCTGGAGGCTGGGGGCATCTCACAGAGGCTGACTTCGAGATGAGCAGAAGCTATGGCTGTATATTGAGGTCATCTTCAGGCCACTTTTGTTAGTGTGGGCTTTCTCACAGCATGGCTGACAGCAGGTCTTTGTTAGCTGTGTGAGAGACTCTCCCTACACGGCCTGAGTTGCCCTCAAACTCCCAGTCCTCTTAATTCAGCTTCCCAGAGAGTGTGTGCCACTGTGCCCAGTTAGTCAGACCCACCTGGAGGCTTAGCATCCCGGCGTCCCAGCCTCAGCCCAGTAGTCTCATAGCTTGCTACTCCGGGCAATCTCCTGGTATCCATACACCAGGGAGAACGTGAAGAACTTGGGACCATGTTTTCAAGCTGCCCTCCCCGCCATTCCTCTCAGACTGTAAAGGGCCCTGCCCCAGAAGGTTTTGTCGACACCCTCTCTTTGCAAGATATGTGTCTGTGTCCATGACACTGGGCCTACTTGGAGGAAGTACATATGTCTACTAGGAAGGCTGAGCTAGTGTGAACACATGAGCGTGGAAGCCTATGTGTGAGCACGGGAGGCTGCCAAAGGCTGTGCTCACTTGTGTGCTGAGCCCGCATGTGGTCTTGGAGTGAGAATTAGTGACATTGTCCCCAGCCTAGGTGCAGGGTCAGCCACCCCCTGACTCCATACAGCGACAAACAACCCTTGTTCTCCCTTCCCAGCCTCACGGCACTCCCCTTCCAGTGTGTAAGTCCTTACCAGATCTCCTCTGGTTCGCTCGCTTGTCTCCATCCCAACTGCTGCCTGAGCCCAAAGAGCCTCATCTCTCCTGCCAGCTGTCCAGCTCTCAGCCTTGCTCCTGTACCCATCAATTGGAATAGAACTCCTCCTTCCCGGACTGGGATGTACTAAAGGGTAGAGCACTTTCCTGGCAAAGCACTGTCCCCATATTCATGGCCCTGCCCCACTGTCTGGGGTTGTCTTTCCCTGGCCCATGGACTCCTCTCCACTTGACCTCTCTGAACTCGTAGGTTCCAGAGCCCCAGCCTTCACTTGTGATGTTCCTTTGTACTCCACTGGCTCCTTTGCTGTCCCCTGGGCCTGGTCCATCAGGCCCCAGCTGAAGTTTCTCCTCCTTAGACCGACCCAGCTGTCCCCAACTGCCTGGCCCAGCGCCCAGTTTAGTGTTGTGCCGCCCTTCCTGATGCAGCCGGCCCTTCTGACTTCAACTCATTTTCTTCTGCCGTTGGAAAGAAAGCTCCTAAGGAACAAGGAGCGAGTCTGCCTTGTCCCCTGGGCCACCCCAAGTCTAGGCTAGTGCTCCTGCGGCTTGCTGGTGCCCAGACCTCCATGAAAAGTGAACGGGGCTACATGCCTGGGATTTCAGAGGTGCTCTGTGTGTGTGTGTGTGTGTGTGTGTGTGTGTGTGTGTGTGTGTGTACACAGGGGGTGTGGTGTGTGTGTTTTGGGAGAGGCCTGACACAGGGTGTATGTGTGCGTGTGCGTGTGTATGTGGACACTGGGAAGGCCAGGGAAGGGTGGGCCACAGTGACTGTGGAAACTATTTGTGGAGTGACAATCCCTCCCAGGGAAACTTGAAGTAAGTTCCCTCGTTGGGCAGCCACGGAATTGGCGGTCGCGGGGCGGTCCCAGACTACCCTCTGTCCCGCCCCCCAGACTCAGGCTGGCCAACGTGGCGGCGGTGGGAGGGCTCAGGCCAGGGAAAGTTCGTCGCCACTGCTATAGCAGGCATTAGACCGGGACGTGCGGGCAGCCTGCGCTGCTCGCTAGCTATGGGTAAGTCGCCAAGGAGCCTAAAAGCTCCGGGCTGGGAGAACTGCAGGCCTGGGCCTTCAACCACCCGCACCCCCCCCCCCGTCACTTCCCCGACCCAGTGTAGGAGAGGCGCCCCTCCCCATGTCAATCCGCCTTCCCGGGGAGTGGCCTGGCCTCAGGGATTCCCCCAAGAGTTCCAATGAGATGATTCTGCAGACAGGACTTGGGATGGTTTTGCATTCAGGGTCTCTTTGGGGTGCTGAGGTTCCCCGGGGGCTCTGCAGACAACTCTGGGGAGACTACAGCTCTGCAGACTGGGCCATACGCCCAGGAGCCAAGCCAGCCAGCAGGTTGCTAAGCACCCAAGTGGTGGGTACTGCCCTAGGTCAGGACATTGACAGGCAAGGATTAGCCAGAACTCCTGTGCTGGGTTCAACTCCAGCGAGAGGAGAGGGTTCATGTCTTTGCCACGGCAGGAGCCCAAGATTTCTGTTAACTTTTCTGAGTTCAAAAACTCAAAGCCATAGTCAGTCCCTCGTTCTTCAATGGGCATATAGTTCAGGCCACACGCACACGCGCACACACACACACACACACAGACTGGGACACCCAGTAAACAAGGGAAACTGCTCTCAATCTTGGAGGTGAAAAATTGGGGGTAGTGAATGAGATGCTGTGTGACATACAGAGCTACAGAGGCCCGGTGGTGTGTTCCTTTGGTAGCAGAGGGAGCCAAGGCAGACCCAAAACTTTATCCAGATATGGGTTTTGCTGAGATCTGGAGGAAGAGCTTCCAGGTGGCAGGACAGTGGGGTCCAAGTCAGGGAGCTCAGGGGATAAGGGGAGGAGGCACAGACTGTGCAGGGCTCCGAGGACTGTGAGGAGAAGTTTGGGTGTTATTCCAAATGACAGGGGAAGCTGGAGATTTTAAGTTACGGGTACCTTGAACTGTCTGTTAAAACCCTACCGAGGCTGTCCAGTGGAGAGTCATAGGAGCTGACCCTGGTTTGATATAACTAGTGTCTCATTTGCAGATAATGAGGTTCAGAAAGGTCCATTCTCTGACGGCCATGCCAGAGAATAAACATCCTCATTCTAGTAGGGAGGAGCAGGAGATTCACAAGGAAAAACTGGGCCAGAGCAAGACTCAAACCCAGGAAGGTAACTAGTAGTTCCTGGAGATCCAGGTCTGGCATCTGGGACTCATGGTGTCACCATGGGAGCTTCCACGGGCTTGAGCAGCCTTGTCTCCATCAACGGCCACACGCCTCTGTCTGAGCAGGCTCCCTTGTGGTTTTCCTTGGTGTATGGTTCACAGTTTGGGTACCTCTAACTTCCTGGGGTTTCCACACCAATGTTCTGCCATCAGCTCAAGGGGCAGCAGGGTCCTCTGGGATCCACTGCAGTGGCCTCACAGTCCCCGGCCAGCTGATTGTGGTGATACAAACCCTGAGGAAACGGCTTCCTAGATGGGTCTGGGCCAGCACGGTACCCCCAAGGGCTCTCGGTACCCCAAGGAGAGCCGTTTAATTAAGTTCTGGCTTCGTTGATTCCCTGGCTGGGACTTGGTGGATTTCTGAGATGCCCACAAAGTCTCCTACCTATTGTCCCAGTACAGTGTGCGTGGCTTATTTTTAATGGTGTGAATCTCTTCAGAGACCTTGCCTTCCTCAGCTCCAGCTTTACACAGGCTTCTCAGGCTGGGCTGCTCAGCTCTCGCTCCCAACTCCTCATGGTGAACCTGGCAAAAAGCAGCTAGCAACCACTATGTCATAGCCTGAATGCTACACTGCCTTGAAATTCCCATAACAACCAGCTTGATATTGTTTAAAAATCACTTCCAAAAAACTCTCTCTCTCTCTCTCTCTCTCTCTCTCTCTCTCTCTCTCTCTCTCTCTCTCTCTCTCTCCCCCCCCTCCATTATACCCTTCTCTCAATACACTCTGCACTCAAACTCTGCCTGCATGGTGTATCTGTCTCTCCCGCCCGTGGTCATCACTCACCAGGGGACCTGCCATGGTCCCCACTCGTGCCATAGTCTTAATATTTGGTCCACTGCTTAAAGGCAAGATAATGTTGTGGTGGAAGCGCATGGCGGAAGGGGATAATGGCATGGTCGTGGAAGCATGGCGGGCGGGAAGGGCCTTTTCCCTTTGTGGTGGAATGGAAGCAGAGTGTAGAGAAGAGAGGGAGGCAGGGACTTACTTCCTCCAAAAAGGTCCCACATCCTAATGTTTCCAGAAACTTCCCAAATAACACTGTCAGCTGGTCTCAAGTCCCCCCAACAACATGAGATTTTTGTGGGGCCAATTCATGTATAAGCCATGACAGTCACCTCACGTAGCTTGACAGAACCTCAGAACCAAGGGAGGGAGGGCAGTGGGGCCAGGCGGTGATCTTTATTAGATGCTTCCCTCGTCAGGAACAGGGAAGATGAGTGGCAGGATGTTGGGGGTAGGGATAAGGGAGAGGGTGGAAAATGAGATGACTTTTTCCTCATGAACGTTTGCCTCTGCATAAAAATTGTCTGTCAGCTGGGAAGAGGCAGGAGTGAGAGAACAAAGTCCTACCACACAGCTTTTGTTAACCAGGAGTGCCGACCACCGGCTTTGCCTTTTTCTGGTCATGAGTTAATTCCCTCATAGGTAATTCCAAAACACACCTCATAAAGCTGTGGTGAGACACAAATGAGTTATTAAGCTTGGTGATCAAAGCTGTGCCAGGACCAGAGACTGCACTCAGGAAATCTGGCTATCACATCACCAGTGTGTGGAGGCGGGAGTGACAGATGCAGCTGGCTGCTTCTAGATGCTTCCAGAAATATCTATGTTTAAATGTATGGATTTGAATTCAACCTAAGAATGACCTGTACAGCTTCAGTGCCAATGTGGCAGTTCCCAAACACATGAGTTAGTAAGATTATTATTAGTCATAATAGAAGGGGGGACATCAAAATAGCAGCCCCAAACTTAATCCATTTGTGAAAAACATGCTTGGCAAGAAAAAGCAGCTTGACTCTGAGGCTGAACTGGAAGACATCCAGTTCTAACTGGTTAAGGTCAAGTGGTCTGGAAGCTCAGGGTTCTGAAGGTGGGGTGTTCCTGCCCATCTAAAGGTAGGAACCTATTGACATTGAGGATGTGAGCTGAGGGTTGGGGAGATCATAGCTGACAAGCTGAGGTAGGGGAGTGTTGGAGGGGGCTGCTTGTTCATCCCGGCCACCCAGAACCAAAATAATCACACAGAAACCATACTATTTAAATCACTGCTTGGCCCGTTAGCTCTGGCTTCTTATTGACTAACTCTTACAGATCAATTTAACCCATTTCTATTCATCTGTGTATTGCCACGAGGCTGTGACTTACCAGCTAAAGTTCCAGCGTCTGTCTCTGGTGGGGCAGCTACATGGCTTCTCTCTGACTCCACTTCCTTTCTCCCAGCATTCAGTTTAGTTCACCATGCCTAGCTCTGTTTCCCATATAGCTTGCTATAGGCCCAAAGTAGTTCCTTTATTAACCAATGATAGTCACAGCATATGGAGGGGAATCCTGCACTGGGGAGATCATGGCTGACAAACACTGGGCCACTGGTCTCTGTTTTCCTCCAGTGTCTCTGCTCACGGTCCCTTTATATCCCTGATGTTTGTGTTTCTGTCTCCTCATTTTCTTTCTCACCCTGTGCAAACTCTCCAGGCTTACTGGCCAACAATCCTGGACTCTCCCATCCCTCACTACTTCATTAACATCTCCTTTAAATTCATTAATTCGCATGTTCCTTGGAGCTGTTTTCTTGCAATTTTTCCTGGTTTCCTTACTTGAAGATGTAATTTATTTCATAAAGCCCAGAAGTCTGGGGACAGCCTGATCAATTTGAGAGTCCTCAGAGAGGGGAAGAGACTGGTCTAGTGTCACACAGTTGGTGAGCTATACAATAGAATTTTCTCTTCTGACTAACATATTGTCTTGTCCTCATTACTATGTATATTAAAGCGTCTTTGTATCCCCCTTTAATTCCCCCAACTTAAAAAGAAAAGAGTATCTGGGCAGTGATGCATACACCTTTAATCCCACTACTCGGAAGGCAGAGGCAGGTGGATCTCTGTGAGTTTGAGGCCAGCCTGGTCTACAGAGTGAGTTCCAGGGCAGCTGTTACACAGAGAAACCCTGTCTTTAAAAAAAAAAAAAAAAAAAAAAGGAGTAACTAGACGTTGAGACAACTCCATCCACTTCACTCAGCAACTCCATAAAGCATTGAAATCAATTCTTTAAAAATTAGACCAACAATTACCTCACTCCCTGTGTAAGGCCTGTCCCCTAAGACTGAGAGTCTTCATGTCCTAGTGACCCTCATGAGCTGGCCATTGTCAGCCTCTCCCACCCTTGCAGATCAGCCCAGAGCTCTAAAGCTCTCCCACCCCACCTTAGCTCCACCCCTTACTGTGGCCTTAAAAACATGGTTTTGTAACCTCTCTGTTCTGCTTGGATGATGCTGATGATGGTAGAGTGCTGCTGTGAACGCCAAGCACAGCTTTGACAACAGTCTGGTCCGGAGGGAGGGAGGGAGGGAGGACAGACAACTGTCTGGGTGGATGGATGGATGGATGGGTGAGTGGGTGGGTGGGTGGATAGATAGACAAATGGATGGGTATAAGTTATAGACAGATATGAGCTGATGGGAAAAAAAAGGAAGGAGAGGAAGGGAAGGGAAGTAATTGGCTGACTGGAGATAGATGATAGATAGATAGATAGATAGATAGATAGATAGATAGATAGATAGATAGATAGATAGATAGATAGATGAGAGAGGGAGGGTGTGGCCTCAGAGACAGGCAGAGTAAATAGATGTCTGCCTGGATGATTAGAGGGATGGAAAGATAAATGGATGTGTCAATGGAAGGAAGGGAGGAAGGGAAGGAGGGAGGAAAGAAGGATAGAAGGAGGAGGGAGGGAGGGAGAGACAGAGGGAGACGGAGGGAGGGAGGGAAGACAGGTGGTTGGACAGTAGACAGCTGCGTAGATGGAGGTTGATAGACAGAAGGGAGGGTGGGACACACAGACCCTCTGGTGAGAGTCAGTCTGAGCCCTACCCTGTCACATTTGTTTTCTAGGCCATCGCCCACCTGTCCTCCTGCTCTGTGCCTCTGTGTCTCTGCTGGGTGGCCTGACCTTTGGCTATGAACTGGCTGTCATATCGGGTGCCCTGCTACCACTGCAGCTGGACTTCGGGTTGAGTTGCCTGGAACAGGAGCTCCTGGTGGGCAGTCTGCTCTTGGGTGCTCTCCTCGCTTCCCTGTTCGGAGGCTTCCTCATTGACTGCTATGGCCGGAAACGGACCATCCTGGGGAGCAACGTGGTGCTGCTGGCTGGCAGCCTGATTCTGGGTCTGGCCGGCTCCCTCTCCTGGCTACTCCTGGGCCGCTTGTCCGTCGGCTTTGCCATCTCTCTGTCTTCCATGGCTTGCTGTATCTATGTCTCAGAGCTGGTGGGACCGCGGCAGCGGGGTGTTCTGGTGTCTCTCTATGAGGTGGGCATCACTGTGGGCATTCTGCTCTCTTATGCCCTCAACTATGTCCTGGCTGGCATCCCTTGGGGCTGGAGGCACATGTTTGGCTGGGCGGCTGCACCTGCCCTCCTGCAGTCGCTCGCCCTCCTTTTCCTTCCTGCTGGAGCACAGGGCACAGCGGTCCACCAAGACCTCATCCCCCTCCAGGGAGGGGAGACCAGCAAACCAGGCCTGAGGAAGCCACGATACGCCTTTCTGGATCTCTTCAAGACCCGGGACAGCATGCGGAGCCGGACCGTAGTGGGGCTGGGATTGGTGCTATTCCAGCAGCTAACAGGCCAGCCCAATGTGCTGTATTACGCTTCCACCATCTTCCGCTCTGTAGGCTTCCATGGAGGCTCCTCAGCTGTGCTGGCTTCTGTGGGGCTTGGTACTGTGAAGGTGGCTGCCACCCTGACTGCCACGGGGCTGGTGGACCGTGCGGGCCGTAGAGCCCTTCTACTTTCTGGATGTGCTCTTATGGCCTTGTCTGTCAGTGGCATAGGCCTGGTCAGCTTTGCTGTGTCTCTGGACTCGGGCCCCGGTTGCCTGGCCATATCCAACGCCAGTCAGCAGACGGACCTGCCTCAAAGCTCCGGTCTGCTTAAGGGTTCATCTCCATCACCAGTGCTGCACACCAGTGAGGACCAAAGACAACCAATCCTGCCAATCGCTGAGAGAACCAAGCCCCATCCAGTCACCACAGTGTCCCTGGGACCAGCTCTGAATGCCGCCTCCCCAGCTCCCCCAGATCCCATCTTGAAGCACACCCTGCTATGTTGGTCTGCACTAATCTGCATGATGGTCTACGTGAGTGCCTTCTCCTTTGGATTTGGACCAGGTAGGAGGTAAATCCAGAGGCTTCTGTCCCATTTAGTGGGCCTTATCCATCTAGGGATACATGAGCATTAGCAGGGGGTGACTGAGGCGTTGGGGTTCCTTGTTTATATCAAAGGGCTCCTCCAGGGCTGAAACCTAAGCTTCCCACCCCCATTACCAAATTTTAAACTTCAGGTCTCTTTCAGTCTTGGATCTATGCCTGGGTGGCTACATCAGAAGAGCTTTATCTGAGAGGAACCAGATAAAAACCAGACATACCAGTTCGCCTAGGACCCTTCTTCTGTTGGCACTGAATGTCTTGTGTCCCAGGAACCTGAGAGTGTGGCCCTTGGGATTCTTGCAGGGGTGTGGGGATGTGCAGCTGGGAGAATCTGGGATCGAGAATGTGACACAGGGCTCAGCTAACAAGGACAGGAGCTAGCCTGTCCAGTTCACGAGTGCCCAGAAACCCTCTTGCTCTCGCCCCAGTGACCTGGCTGGTCCTCAGTGAGATTTACCCAGTGGAGATTCGAGGGAGAGCCTTCGCCTTCTGCAGCAGCTTCAACTGGGCGGCCAATCTCTTTATCAGCCTCTCCTTCCTCGACCTCATTGGTGAGTACTCTGATGCAGCCCAGCTTGTGAACCCAAAGGGAATATTCCATCTCAAACCACCTAAATGAGTGGGGTGGGTGGCCTCACACAGCCAGTCGTGAGCTTCCCTACTTCAGGGACTGTCCTTCACTCTTTAACTCTGCGGATCACCCAGAGTTTTTTGTTTGTTTGTTTGTTTTTGTTTTGAGACAGGGATTCTCTGTGTTGCTTTGTTGCCTGCCCTGGAACTAGCTCTTGTAGACCAGGCTGCCCTCAAACTCACAGAGATCCACTTGCCTCTGCCTCCTGAGTGCTGGGATTAAAGGCCTGTGCCCCACCGCCTGGTTACCCAGGGTCTTTGTTCACAAACATTCCTGCCTCGTGGTACAAAGGTGGCTGCCAGCAGGCCTCTAGTGCACCCCAGATCCTGGACCTAGCTCTCATTGACCCACCAAGATCACTTGCCCCTTCCAGGGCCAATGGCTGGTGCCATTCTGATGCCCAGGGCTCCTTCACTCTGGGCAGTTTTTAGGAGCGGGTTATTTTCTGCTCCCCATGGTCAAGTGTTTCCATGTCCAGCTCTGAGACTGTGGAACACTTTGGAGGAGCCACTCTCCTGATGGCCTCCCAGCCTTCTTTCTCCCGACTGCCCCTGCCTCCGGACATTTCTGTGCGGATGGATGAACAAGACAAAGCGGGGAGGGAGTGTTGAAATATGAACGGCGGGGTTGCGTCCCCAACACCCCGGCCGCTTGGCTAGCTCATGCCCGAAATAACAACACACAAACTGTATTCATTTAAGAACTGCTTGGCCCATGAACTCTTACAGGCTAATTCTTGCACCTGGACTAGCCCATTTCTAATGATGTATGTAAGCACCCCAAGGTGTGCTTACCGGGAAGATTCTAGCCTCCGTCCATCATGGTGTCTCTGCTCCAGAGAGCAGAGCTGTAGAGTCTCCGGGAGCAGAGCAGAGTCTGACCTCACTTCCTCTTCCGCCCAGAATTCTATTCTGTTTACTCCTCCCATCTATGTTCCAAGCTGAGGCCAAGCGGTTGGTTTATTATAACTTAACCAATGAAATCAACAGATTGATATATGACACTCCCACATCAAGGGAGGATAGAGAGGAGGAACTCATGGTGAGTCCTGCCATTTCCTCACCCCCATTGCACAGATGAGAAAATGTCATTCCTAAGTCCAGCCAGGTGTCAGAGGATAGAGCCTGGTCCTACAGACAACCCAGGGGGCAGATCCCACTGCTCAGGGAAGCTGGTGGGAGGGTGATGTCGGCTTGCAGAGAAAGGCACCCACACAAAACCTCACTTCCCCCTCTACAGAGTCCCTTCAGTCAAGCCCCCTCTCCCTGTCATGGGCTGACGATAGAGACCTCTGCAGTCATCTCCAATGTGGTCCTTAGCCCTGGGCAGAGCCCTCCATTCTGGGTTGGGGAAGTGGCCCCTGTCTTCCTGTTCTCCTGGCTCAGGTCCAGTCAACTCTAGGTCAGTTTGCAGAGTGCCCTTTTGTGGCCTTCTGGAACAGAAGCCCTGGAGCCACCTTTGTTGTGGCTCGTCTCTGCAGCTGGCTACATCTCCACCCAGGCATTCTGACTGAGGGACTTTCCCCTGCGTACAAGTTGCCCTTAATGTGTTGGTGGCCTCAGCCTCAGGGACAGCCAGTGACTTGTCGGCCGTTCTGCAAACTGGGCATCCCTGGCCCTTACATGGGTGAACAATTGGGTTTACACCCTAGGACATGTTGGGCGGGATGGGCATCAAGAGCAGGATGCTCGGCTCCTGGCCCACACTCCCAACATTGTGTCCCAAGGTGCCATTGGCTTGGCCTGGACCTTCCTGATCTATGGGCTGACTGCTGTCCTTGGGCTGGCCTTCATCTACTTGCTTGTTCCTGAGACAAAAGGACAGTCACTGGCTGAGATAGAGCAGCAATTTCAGATGAACAGGTACGTGGCAGATGGGGCTGGGGGCTAGGACGGTGCCTCAGAAGAGGGACCCTCCAGGACCTCAGGATCCTTCCTCTTCCTTTGGCCAGATGCTCCTATCTCCTCTTGCCTTGCTGCCACTGTCCCCAAGCCATTTTCCTTCAGTTACTATGCACCATCTGACAGTGGCTTTTGTACTGACCTCAAGGCTCAGCCCCTGGATGTGTGTGTGTGGTGAAGGGATCAAACCCGAGCTTTGCATGTGTAACCAAGCATTCAACCCCTGAGCTATGTTTTGCTTTCGAGATAGGGTCCTGCCATGTAGTCCACGCTAGCCTGGGGCTTGCTGCGGAGCTCAAGCTGACCTCATCCTTGCCAGTTTCTCGCCACCATGACAGGCTCTCACAGGGAATTGGAAATGAATTACAAAACCACAGAGTATTGGAATCTTGAAAACCACCAAATCTTAGAGTCATGGACTTTGGCGTTTATATTAAGTCCTTGCAGCTATGTCCCCGGCAGGGACTGAGGCCTTTGCGAATGCGGCAGAGGTCAAACATGGCGAGGTACTGTCCCCAATGAACTGCTGTTTGAGTTTGGAAGGGGCAGAAAATGAGCCAACAGACTGCTGAAGGAGAGCGGCCTAACCTGATGGTATTTAATGAGAAGGAAAATGAAGCCGCGTATCTTGCTGGGGGCTCATCTGACAGATGGGCACAGAGAGGGACAGAGAGAGAGGATCAGGGGTTGTGGCTCAGTTAGAGCAAGGATCTTACTGAGTAGATGTGACTTCAGTTGGTGAGGAGGGAGGCAGCCATGGAAAGATGGGGGAGGGGGCATTCCTAAGTGGTGGGGGGGAGTAGAAAATGCAAAGACCCTGAAGTGGGGGCCTGTCCTACCTCGGCAAGGAACAAGAGATACACACACACACACACACACACACACACACACAACAAGGGACTGGAGGAGGGAGGGAGGGTCAGGTCAGCCAGATGGAGTTAGATCACTTCCAGTACGGGGGGCCACAAACAGGATTTCAGAATCTTAGCGCCCTGGCAGAAATGACGGGAGACAAGCCGCGGGGTGCCATGGCAACGAGAAAATGCCCTCACCTTTCCTGCGGTTGAAGTTCCTGGCTGCCTGTTCTATTTCTGGGATGGCCTGAAGGGGTTTTTAAGTCCCTGTGATATAGAGCCAGCCTGTAGCTGAAAGGAACAGGTGGAGCGTGGAGCAGGATGAAGGGGTCGGCTGACCTCCCAGAGTAGAATACCGCAAGGGGTGATACGGGCGTGGTGCAGTTCCTTTAGCTAGGGTGTTGGTGTTTGAGCCATTGCATGAAGGTGTACTGAGAATTCCCCAGGTACATGGTGACCCCGGCTGTGGTGAGGCGGATGGGGTTCTGTGGCGTTCAGTGATTTTCTTCTGGAAACACTGCCTGGAACAGTGGCAGCCACACCCTGGTTATCAGTGACATGGAGTTCTAGGGCAGCCAGTGAGGGAGCTGTTACCTGAGTGGGGAGAAGGCCAGTGGTTCAGAGCTGGGTGGAGAAGGAGTATGTTCGGGAGGAGGGAAGAACAGAGGCCCTGGCTGGTGTGATGGCCCTTCTGGTGTTTGGAGAGTGGTACAAGCCTCACATGTCCTCACAGGGACATGGAAGGGTCTGGCTTTGAGTTTAGAAAGGGCACAGTGACTGGATGGAGACACAGCCAGCCCTGAAGTACTGCACAGACTGGAGAACAGAGGTAGACTCGTTAGGAAGGAATCAGGAAGGTGCGGAAGAGGGTGGGGGCAGCGAGGTCTGTTGCTCCTGCAGGGGAAGGTCCCAGGCCTGTGGCTCTCTGATCATATGGTGCTTTCTTGGCAGGTTCCCTCTGCGCTTTGGCCACAGGCAGAACCCCAGCGGTATCCAGTACCATCGCCTGGAGGTCTCCTCAGCCTCCTGAGGGCCCCGTCTGCTTGGAAGGTCCTAGTACATTGGTTTCTGCAGTTCCAGCTCTCAGCCTGCTGGGGCCTGGAACTCATGATCCAAGTTTCCTACCATAGTGACCCCTGCCCTAGAGGGTGCCTCTTGCTGGGGTGAGAGATGAACCCCCAACTCTTCATTTTGGGTGTGAGATTCCGAGGACTCTGGAAGGTCTAGCTGCAAGCGTCAGGGTTCCCATGGAGTTGGCTTGTCCGATTGTTTGTAGTAACGTTCTCTGTGGTCTCTTCACCAAGGGCTTCTCAGATGACCCGGATGGAAGTGTGCCCCCAAAGAGCCCTGAGCCAGCAGAGGCTGCAAGTCTCTGCCTTCCTTGTCCACTCGCCAGGATCTTAGTGATCAGGAGCCTCTGCTTTGGTCACTCCCTTCCTCCTGTCCAGGATATTTATCAGACACTGGGACTCTGGCTGGGAAGAGGCTGTTGCTTTTAACCCTGGTCCCAGTTTTCCCCGTGTGTCCCATAGAAGCCTGGACTAGGTGCTCCTAACTCTCAGACCAGGGACAGAAACGCTCAATGAGGATCCTGTCACGTGGCCCTGGGACAGAGTTTTTTTAGTAGGAAGTGTTCCTAGATTTGAAAGTGTTCCTGGAATGCAAGAGCTAGTCTCCAACACGTGACAAGTGCCAGGGAAGGGCGGGGGACTTTGAAGGAAGAAAGAAAGAAGGGCTTGGAAGGATTCACTGGTGTTGGCTGTTATTACTTCTACTTTGGGTGCTATTGACTCCCCAAGCCTCAATTTCTCCACCTGTTGAATGGGCAGAGTTGTGCCCTTCGGGATATATTAACTTACCCCATCTCCCTCAGGAGGGTCTTCCATGAGTCCTAGGGGCTTCTGCTCTCTGTGTTACGCAGGGCACCTCCTTTGGTGGTATTGTAAGGGGTCAGTCAGCTGGAGTTCAGCAAGTGGTTGAGGTCAGAGGTCGCATAAGGACATAAAAAAGACAGAGTTGGTTGCTGAACACTGGGTAGCTGGCTTCACTGGCAGTGTAAACCACACCCTTCTGGTCTCCAAGCCTGGTCCAGTGACCTTGCTCTTTTTCTAGATATTTAATTTATAGTCAGTGGCGTGCTGGATTCAACTTGTGCTGGCTCCTCAGAGCCGACTACCACACGGTCAAGATTTCTGCAGACTGGTTGCTAAGCACTGCCATTATTTTTTAAAAAAAGTTTTAATTTATAATAAATGATTAGTGTAATTCTAATAGCCAATACTCAGACTTCATTATCTCCAGCCAGCTGCAGTGGCTCATGCCTGTAATCCCAGCATTCAAAAGAGGCTGAAGTTAGAGGACTGAGCATTCTAGGCCAGTCTGGCTTTAAACCTTGTCCAACTAAATAAATAGGTAAATACACAAACCAAACCCGTGTTTCTCCCTCCTCCGGGCTGCCGGGTCATCCTCACGTGTGTCTGATGGAGACGGCAGAAGGTACCGCATGTTTTACTGGTCCTACATTCAATGCCTTCACAGAAAATACCAGGCTGTGTCTTTGCATCCCAGAGGTGAGGGAACACTGCAGACCAGGACGTGGTCTGTGGTTTGTCTGATTTTTCTGGAGGTGAGAACTGTGGGGTCAGGGAGTAAGGTGCCTCCTGCGTGTAGCCGGGATATTGAAAACAGCCCAGAAAACGGGGTGTGTGTGAAAATCCTTCCACTCTGGTCAGTTCAGCAGACACTTGCTCGTGGCCTTGATGGAGGGAGGGGTTCTGGTGTATGTCTGACCTTTGGAGATGCATACCATTCATCAATAGTTTTTATATCAGGAGATTGAGGGCAGAAATGGGCACAAGGGATTAATCAACCCTTTTGATCACCAAGGAACAAAGGGCATTTATTAGCTAGCAACAATTGGGCTACTTTGTTTTTGTGTCCTGACTTTAAGGGGTTCCTCAGCTGTGTGCCTTTCTAAAACTTTCCATTGTCTTCTTGGGTTTTTCACCTCAAAGCTATTATCAAAACATGTGATCTAACCTGATGCTATCATGAGGCTTTGTTTCAGCTGTGATGCACTCTGAGCCCTGTGAGCCCATCTCCCAGGTTAAAAGAGTGTAAGCAAGCTGGGCCACCGGGACTCAATTGTTTTCCTTAACCATTAACCCGAGCCACAGTCTATGCAGCTCCTCAATAGAAACCCATGTGTTCTAGCTGTGGGATTCTTCCTTGTTTAATTTTTTTATCATCAGCATTCTATTTAAGCCCGGCAGTGGTGGCGCACGCTTTTAATTCTAGCACTTGGGAGGCAGAGGCAGGCAGATCTCTTTGAGTTTGAAGCCAGCCTAGTCTACAAAAGGAGTTCCAGGACAGGCACCAAAGTTACATAGAGAAACCCTGTGTTGAAAAAGAAAAAAAGCTCTATTTAAACCAACATTATTATTATCAATTAAACAGTACAGCTTAGGAAGGAATCATTTTCATAATAATCCACAGGTTAAAATGCCCTGTAGAACAGGATGTTTCCATGAGATAAACACCCTATACTACAGGCAGTAACCTCAAGGCCATAAGACCAGGAGTGTTGGGGGACAGGAGAGGTCTTAACTCCCTATCTAGAGCCATCTAGCTTGTACCTGGGTTCAAGTAACTCCTATAATGTTTCATTTCTGTAAAAAAAAAAAAAGTTACTAAATAAAAGATCTTTTAATGATGCTTTAAAACATTATGTGTGTGTGTGTGTGTGTGTGTGTGTGTGTGTGTGTGTGTGTGTGTGCTGGTTCCCATGGAAGCCAGAAGAAGGCACCAGTTTCCCAGGAGCTGGAGCTGTAGGTGGTTGTGAGCTACCTGGTATGTTTGGGAACTGAACCTGAGTCTTCTGAAAGAACAGCAAGAGCTCTTGATTGCTGAGCCACCTCTCCAGCCCCCAAATCTTTTTTTTTTCTTTTTAACACTTTTAGAAACACTGAAAACTCTACATGTAAATGCTAAGGACCGCCCACATCCTATGTGTTACAGAGAAAGTTTTTGTGTCTGCTCACTTCTTCCTCTGAGATAATAAATGAAGACAGAAGAGCCAGTGTGGTGGCACACACCCTTAATTCCAGCACTCTAGAGGCAGGGACAGATAGGTCTTTGTGAGTTTTGGGGCCAGGTCTACACAGTGAGTTCTAAGACAGCCAGAGCTATATAGTGAGACAAAAATAAGAAAATAAATGCAGAAAGATAAGCAGAAATATCACATCCTCTTCTTTTCTGTTATACTTTTTGTTTTATTGTTTTTTTGAGACAGGGTTTCTCTGTGTAGCTTTGGAACCTGTCCTGGAACTCACTCTGTAGACCAGACTGGCCCCAAATTCACAGAGATCCACCAACTCGTGCCTCCTTATTGCTGGGATTAAAGGTGTGCAGCCCCACGTCCAGTTACTTGTGAAGCTGAGTTCAGAAATACCATGTCCTGGCCAAGGTCAAGAGCAGAGTCAGCAAATCCCAGCATCTGGCTGTTTCTTGACTTCTGCTTGTGTAGAAACTTGAGTTACATGTGCGCCAAGTCAACATTCCAGTTTTCCTGGCAGAGACCGAGTCTGCCAGCGGAAACAGAACGTTTTCGCTTTCTTTCTCACCCTCGTCTGTGCTTTTCTGCATTCTCTCTGTGTCCCCTGCACTCAGCCCTGTGAACTTGCTAAGTTCTTCCAGACCCAGGAGCCGGACGCCACCCTGTATCTCTGATTTTGACGGTCTAGGCTGGTGGTTACTGAGATATTATCCAAAAAACTTTCTCTGGGACCCTCTGTCAATCATCCTTCAACTTCTTGCGGGGAGAACTTGGCAACTGTGCAGAACTTGGATACCACAGTTCATTACCGTCTGCTGGAACTTAATTGGCTTTGAGCTGGGCACAAAAAAAAAGGTTGCTATGACATTTTTGTTGGTTAAACCCAAACACATCAGCTCTTTCCTGCTTTTACTAACACTGTAGGCGCTAAGCAGTGCTTTAAGCTCTTCCACACTGGGGCATCAAGGGCCATGTGTAAGTGGAGACTGCTTTTTAGTTTCCTGGCCGCCCAGACCCGAACAACCACACAGAAACTATATAATTACAACACTGTTTGGTCAATAGCTTAGGCATATTCCTAGCTAGCTCTTTTAAATTGATCAATTTATATTAATCTGTGTATCACCACAAGGCTGTGGCCTACTGGTAAGGTTCTGGCATCTTTCTCCTTTGGCAGCTATGTGGCATCTACCTGACTCCACTTCCTTTCTCCCTGCATTCAGATTAGTTTTCCTACCTAGCTCTATTCTGCCCTGTCATAGGCCAAAGCATCTTCTTTATTAACCAATAGTAATAAAACATATTCGTAGCATACAGAGGGGAATCTCACATCAGCCATGCTAACTTTCCTGATCCCATCAGTGAGTTAGTTTTTGAACAAACCCCTAAGATTTCCAGTCAGGAGCTCTCATTCCACGGCAAGTGGATCTACAGGAATGGCCAGCCCAGTCACTCTTTTTCTTTGGCCATGAGGTTGTTCACAGGGCTACGAGTTCTACTTATTGAAAGAGCAGAGTCAGGGGCTGCAAGCATACTTTCTAAGATTTGGGGGTGCTTCTTCCCTGACTCTCAACTCTCCAGTTTGCCTGCAGGTGGCCCAGGGTCTGACACCTGCTTGGGTTTGTCACTCTTTGGAGCAGTATTCTACTGGGACTGTCAGCTGACCCAGAGCCAACTGCTTCTAAAGGTTCAGAACAAGTCTCTGGAAGAAACACACACTTTGTTCCAATCAGATCAGCAATCCATTGTGCTTCAGAGGCTAAGCAGGTATTGTCTCTAAAACTTAGAATTTCCCAGAAATGGATTGGTTCCACGTGACCAAATTCTCTAGAACTGTGGGTAGGCAATCTCTCTCTCTCTCTCTCTCTCTCTCTCTCTCTCTCTCTCTCTCCCCCCCCCCCTTATCTCTGTAGCTCAGGTCAGTCTGGAACCCCTTGGAAATCCTCCTGCCTCAGCCTTCCATGCACCAAGATTACTTGTTTGACTCACCACGCTGGTAGCTCTCAGCGTCAACCGCTCTGACTCATAAACTGAATTTACAAAATGAAAGTTTGTATCTTGAGAGCCAGAGGCTCCTGGCTCTAAGCTTTCACTGCCCAGAGTGACAGCCTGTGAGCCTCGGCTCTTTGACTACTGCCCTTTTACTCTCGTGGGAGTGGGGTTCATAGTTGTGCAGCTTGGGCTCACAGCCTCCCCTCTTCACAGCTACAGCCTCTTGTCGCCCAGGACCTCTGAGCTTCGGGATGTGTCTGCCACAGTTTGTCCTTACTTCTTGCAGTTTCTCCATCACTCATTGGAGCTCTTAGCGGTTTCCTTGCTGAACTGGAAGACCTGGGATTGGCTCATTTTCCAGCTCAGACTGCCCTATCATTGGTAAATACCAAACATAGACAGAAGTCCTTCTGAGGGAAGCCTTTATTGGGCCCGATGCTGCAACACTAGGCAGGTAGCACATGGCAGAGAAGCTTCCCAGTCATCTCAAGGTGACTGAGAAACAGGCTGCTCACAGAGCTGGAAGGAGACACAACGCAGCTGCGCAGCTGCGTAGGATTCAAACCCCATCAAGCTCAGCCTTGCTTGGGCGTGGCTTCCCTTCCTCCGGGCGAATAGCTGTGCCATTCACTGCTGTCCTGATTGTGGTTTTTGTTTGTTTGTTTTTTTGTTGACTTTTTTTTTCAGCTCAACACAAACCCAAACTTATCTGGAAAGAGGGAATCCTAATTGAGAAAATGCTTCCGGAAGATTGGCCTGTGTGCAAGTCTGTGTCTTGATTAATAAGTGCTGTGAGGGGGCTCAGCCCACATGGTTCTGGGTTCTATAAGAAGGCAAGGCTGAGCAAGCCATGGGGAGCAAGTCAGTAAGCAGCACCCCTCCATAGTCTCTGCTTCAGTTCCTGCCTCCAGGTTCCTGCCTTGAGTTCCTGCCCTGACTTCCTTGGATAATGGACTGTGATATGGCAGTGTAAGCCAAAGAAACCCTTTCCTCCCCAAGATGCTTTTAGTCCTGGTGGTTCATTGTAGCACGAAGAACCCTGACTAAGATGGCATCTTCACATGGAACCAGTCACAGGGAGTCACGAGGGAGGTACAACCTGCCTGTCCTGAGTGAGACCAGCTATAGGGTGAGCAGGTGCATCTGGAGCCCACTGAGACTGTTCTACCCTGGGTGGAGCTGCTCAAAGCCAGAACAGTTTTCTCAGGGCAGTCAAGACTGAGCCAAAGCCTCCAGATGAAGGGGTTGTGGCTTGCAGCAACTGTGGTGACAGTGGTCTTTGCAGCTGGAGTGGGCTTGTCCCAGAATGATCAGGGAACATTTACAACAGCTACAGGGCAGTCTGACTGGTTGTCAATGAAGAGGTTGCTTGGCTGACAGCTCCTCATTCAAGGCAAGCAGGCACAGTTAAGCAGGTTGAAGGGTCTGTCAGCTGTCCTTCAAGGGGCCAAATAGCTCATTCATAAGAAAAAGACATGCATGAAAGGGTGCTTACCATACAGACCTGTGAGGAAGTGCATGTACGGTTGGTGTGGGTCCCCATCGCCAACATCCCCAAGGAATGCCCCCCACACCTAGCTCATGGATGCTGGTCTGTGAGGGGGACACAGGGGAGTCCCCTCATCCTTGGCTTTAGTAAAGAGTAAAAATGTCTCTGCACCATTGGACTGGAGGTGTGGGTGGCAGGAAATATGCGGCACCCTGAATGCTTTCGCTGCAGCAGGCAGCAAAGCAGCTGGTGCTCTCATTGTTTCCAGCCGCTGCAGGCCAGCGCCGAGCTAAGGCTCCCAAAGCCATCCTTCCATTTGTCTGTCCATCTGTCAATCCTTCCATCTGTCTGACCATCCTTCCATCTGTCCATCCATCCAGTCATTCTCTTTGTGATTCCTACATGAATAGAGGGAAGGATTCCAGCTACCCACTGAGCCTTGGCCTTTGGGTGTCAGCCAAATGGGAAGCAGGAAGACCCCCCCCCCCATTCACTCATGTTGGTGCCTTCACTTCCCTGTCCACACCTGCCTGGTTATTGAGTTCTTTGCGCTGTCTGCCCTGCTGGTCCTTCTGTCTGTCCTCTCCTGCCTGCATCAGGCACAGGAAACACCCACACCGCTTCCTCTTCCTTCCTGAACTCGCACGGTGTGGCAATCCACCAGTCTTTGTGAACTGGGCAATAACAGGACCGGCCGTGCAGCTTAGACACCATCTTCTCCTGGACGTCTCCCCTCCGCCCTGCACGCGCCTGGCTGATGATTAACGTAAAAAGCCAATCAGAACCAATGGCCATGGATCCAAGAATAGATCTTAAAATCCTATGAAAACCTCTGTTGTGAGGATGACGCCAACTGCTCTCTATCCAGTGGGTCTGCAGTCCTTACTGCATGCAGGAAACAATGGAACTGAATTTGTAGTGTGATCCTACCACATAGTGTGTGCTCTCACATGTGTGTGCGTGCGTTATACACACATGCACAAACACACACACATGCACAAACACACACACACGCACACTATCACCTCTTGGGCAGGGTGTGGCCTATTCAATGTAAGGGACACTATTCACGTCTTTGGGGATAAAAGAAGAGGAAGATGCCTTTTCCACATGTGTTTCTGTATGCTAAGTGGCTTTATTTATATTTACTGTGGTTTTATTTAATTTTTTCCAAATAAAAGCATGATATCAG